CCCAAAGCCAGGTTTAGGGTTTAGGGTTGAGTCATTCGCATGGCCCCTTTGTTTTCAAGGGCAACCAGGCTAAACTTCTGCATCTTACAACCCTCAGACCCTAGACCCTAAACCCTACCTGTGACCCCAAACCCTGCGAACTAGTAGGTTCTGACCCCAAAACGGTAGGATTTTGGACACTAAACCCTAAACCCTGAACCCCAAAACCCTAAACCCTAAACCCTAAGGACCCCCTCCGGGCCCCCGGGGCCTCAAAGGGGTCCCTCCGCTGTCTCGGGCCTTCCTCTTTTGAGCGGCGCGCCTTCTCCGGCGGCTTGGCTTAGGGGTTTAGGGGTTTAGGGGTTTAGGGTTTTAGGGGTTTTAGGGGTTTTAGGGGTTTTAGGGGTTTTAGGGGTTTTAGGGGTTTTAGGGTTTAGGGAAGTTTTGGAGGCTTCTGATTCTTCTGATTGCTTGATGTCTATGTTATTTGCGTGTGGTGTTGTTGCTTCTGTTGTGGTTGCCTTTGTGCGGCTGAGGGCTTACTTGGAACATCATGGGACTTAGTAACTAGGGTTCTAAAAAAGGTAACTATACAAGTAATCATAACCCTAATTAAGGTGGATATAACCTTACGTACTAAGTCCCATGATCCTCCAAGTATAGGGGATCGGACTGGAGGTTAGGATTGGGGTTCAGGTTGAAAACACACCAAGCCCTAAACCTAAATTCAAAAACCCAAACCCTATAAACCCTGAACTCTGCAAGTGGGTTTAGGGTTTAGGGTCTAGGTTTAAGGTATCCCTAAAACCTAAAAACCCAAACCCTAATCTCTAAACCCTATTAAGCCCCAAACACCAATCCCAAAAACCGCAACCCTCATGTCTGATCCGTAAGCCCTACCTATAGTGCCCATTGTAGTTGCTGTTGGGGGGTGACGTTCTACGATCCCTAAAATAAAACTGGTTGAACCGAAAAGGGAACTACAATGGAGATTATAGGTACAACCGAAAGCAGCATTTCATGGAGAAGCTGGGCTTATAGAACCCTTTACAGATCCCCTTAAAAGGAACCCTAAACCCCAACCCTAGATCTTAAAAACCCTAAAACGCAAAAACCCTAATGCAGGGGTCTTAGGAATTAGAATAGGGTTTTGGGGGGTATATTATACTATAACTATTATAAGGAGCCCCCAAAACAGTAAAGGTAATATAATTATTAAGGCCCCTATATTAAGCCACCTTGCAGCCCCTAAACCCTAAACTCCTAAACCCTGAACCCTAAAGTCTAACTCCCGAACCCGAAACTCCTAAACCCTAAAACCCCTAAACCCTAAACCCTAAACTCCAAACCCCTAAACCCTAAACTCCTAGATCCTAAACCCTAAACTCCTAAACCCTAAACCCCAAACTCCTAAACTCCCAAACCCGAAACTCCTAAACCCTAAAACCCCTAAACTCCTAAACCCTAAACTCCTAAACTCCTAAACCCTAAACCCTAAACTCCTAAACCCTAAACCCCTAAACCCCTAAAACCCCTAAACCCTAAAACCCCCCCGCGGAGCGGCCTCCCAGGGCTCGAACTTCATGACCAGCGCGGTGAAGGTCCGCACATCGACGCCGAGGCTCTCCACGGCTGCACACTCGAGCTCCTGTGGGTTTTGGGGGCTTGAGGTTTTGGGTTTTGGGGTTTAGGAGTTTAGGGTTTAGGGTTTAGGGTTTTGGGGTTTAGGAGTTAGGGATTGGGGTTTAGGGTTTAGGAGTTTTAGGGTTTAGGAGTTTGGGATTAGGGTTTAGGGTTTAGGGTTTAGGGTTTAGGGTTTCTGGGCTTAGGGGATCGTTGTTGTTACCGTATGGCAAAGTCTCTGAAAAAAGGCCCCTAAGCCCCCGGTTTAGGGGCCCATTATACTATAACTATAATCAGGAACCACACAAATGGTATAGGTAATTACTTAGGCTTCTACATTAAGGCACCCTTTGACGTAGCAAGTCGCTTGTAGCCCCTCTTCGGGTCTTCCTGATAGCAGCACTAATGATGGTCTACTTGCTAAATCTCCAGATGCTCCACATTGTTAGTAAGCCCTGCGGATTGCCCTAAACCCTAAACCCTAAACCCTAAACCCTAAACCCTAAACCCTTGAGGACTCAAAAAAGTGGATTAAAACAAGAGTTTCTTAGGGTCCAGGTACCTAGGCCCCATAGCAGTTCCTTTTTGGGGGTTCATGTTTTGAATCCTCTTAGGTAATCCCAAAAAGGAACTACTATGGGGCCTATGGGTAGGCCCTAATCAATCCGTTAGGGTCCCAAACCTTAACACCCCAAACAGACTCAAGACTCACTTGAGCGCTTTTTTAGGGAGTCAGAGTATAAGGGCGTGGGGCTTCTCCTTTTTGCGCTTTTCTTGGGGGGTCATTCGGTCCGCAAGGAACGGGAGCCGTCAAGGCGGGAACACGAACGCTCTCCACTCCTGGTCCCGCTCGTGATGCCATGGCTCCAGCCTGAGTAGAGACATGAGCGTATGGTTTAGGGTTTAGCAGACATGAGCTTATTATTGCCGTGTTGCTGACTCTGAACCCTACCAGCTTACAGGCTGTGCCGGAAGTGATGATTTGCTACTATTATGTAGGATGAGACCCTGCAGGTAGTGCTCAGCGCTTCTGCGCATTGGGAGCTAGCTTCGGCTTGGATTGACCCCTATCTAAACCCCTACCCGGATCCCCGAACCCCACAAAATAGTGGGTTACGACTCCTCTACCAGAGAAACAACCAAAACAGTAGATTTGGGGATTCCCAGGCAACACCCTACACTGTAGCTACAAACCTTCGAAACATCACCTTACAGCCTTCGGCTGTGGATGAACCTAATGAAAGCGTTAGGTTGGGGGTTAGGGTTTATGAGCTTTGGGGTTTAGGGTGTCGGGGTATAGGGGTAGCCAGACTTAAATACATACAACCCTACTTACTAAGACCTATGATCCTTCAGCCCTAGTCACAGCGTAAACAGTTAACATTGAGGTCATGTGCGGGCCTCAGTAATGGAACAGAGCTTTGGGGAAGGAGGTGAGAGGGGGGGGGGGCTAAATTGTATCGTCACTGTGACGAGGAAACTAGTGATTCAGAGCTTAGGTGTAACCTTAAGCCCCTAAACCTAAAACCCCTAAAACCCCTAACCCCAAAGCCCTAAACCCCACCACGAAACCCAAAACCCTAAACCCCCAAACCCCTAAACCCTAAAGCCCAACGCTAAACCCCAAACACTAAACCCTAAACCTCAACACTAAACCCTAAACCCTAAACCCTAAACCCTAAACCCTAAACCCTAAACCCTGAACCAGAAACTGCAGAGCTGGACACTGCACAGTCAACCCGAAGACCAGGGAAGGGAACACGGAAGCCCCAGACCCGAAACGCCGAAACCCACACGATTTAGGGTTTAAGGTTTGGGGTATTAGGGTTTAGGGTTTAGGGTCTAAGGTTTTGGGTTTAGGGTTTAGGGTACAAGGTGTAGGGTTTAGGGTTTAAGGTATAAGGTTTAGGGTTTTGGGTTTGTGAATTGTGTTCGGTGTGTTTCCCATGAAGCCCATCAATCGCCAGCTGATGCTTTAGATATCCACCATGAACCTCACAACCCGACAGCTTAGCAGGGCCTCTATGCAGGGCCTGTAGCTGTGTTGTTGTAAGCCTAATACCAAGCAGGTCCATAAATACTACTATTATGGAAGTAGGTGCCCAAAACCATATTAATTAGGGATGGCCTTTCTGGGACCTACATTTCCATAATGCTAGTATATATATATATATATATATATATATGTGGACCCTCTGGGATTTTGTGTCGGGGGCGCAGGGGAGTTCAGGATTTTGCCCATGTGGGCTCAGGGTTCCTGGTTAGAGTGGTTTGTACCTCTAAACCCTACACCCTAAACCCTTAACTCTAAACCCTTAACCTTAAATCTCAACCCTAAACCCTAAATCTAAACCCTAAACCCTAAATCTGAACCCTAAACCCTAAATCTAAACCCTAAACCCTAAATCTAAACCCTAAACCCTAAATCTAAACCCTAAACCCTAAATCTAAACCCTAGACCCTAAACCATGAGCTCGAACCCTAAACCCCCGAAGACCTCGGCTCTACAGTCCTAAAACCCTATACGCCCAAAATCCCACACCCCTAAACCCCAGAACCCTAAACCTTCAATCCTGATACCGAAAGCCGAAGTCTAGGGTTGGGGATTTAGGGCTTCGGGGCTTAGGACTTAGCAGTAACTGCCATGAAGGTGGAAAGTCACTATCCTCACGCCCGAAAACTAAAGCACACGGAGCGAGTATCAGCACTAAGTATCCTTCTTCCCTTGTGGTTTACTGTCCGTGTGGATGGGGTTTACGGTCTGGGCCAACTTGATTGGCTTGCTGCAGGGCTCCGAGCAGATCTCAATACCCCGGCTGTAAGGCAAACTCAACCGCGAGTGGTTGATGCTGAGCATGGTGCTGCAGATTGAAGTGAAGTGCCGTCGCCCCGGTTGTGAGCAAAACATCCATCACCTGGCGGGTTAAAGCTGTGCAACTCTGGTTGGTCGTTCGCAGATCTGCTGCTGGTGACCAGCCTTTGCTCTGGCTGGAGACAAGGATTGACACATGGATTGATGTTCGTGTGCAGTTGGTATTACTGTTCATGCTATACGCATGTATGTATGTATGTATGTATGTATGTATGTATGTATGTAAGTATGTATGTATGTATGTATGTATGTATGTATGTATGTGTGTGTATGTATGTGTATGTATGTGTATGTATGTGTGTGTGTGTAG